GAGCTTGTTTTCGTAAGAGTCTCAGAAGGGGGCTGACCTGCCTTCAAGGGACAGCTCTCCTCTCCCGGTCAAGGTGGATCTCGAGGATTGTCTAACAAAGAAGCTGGATTCAGGCAGCGCTCTCAATTCATACCCTATCGCTATTCCGGAGTAACTCTCTCTCCGACTCTCTTATTCCAGAATAAGAGCCTCTTTTCTCCAGGGTAGCATGAGCCACCGAGTGGCTGAAAAGGCATTCCTTCTGGAGTAAAAACAGCCGCCCACGGAGCTACTCCAGAATGGTGAGTGCATGAACGACCCCACAAGCCCTATTGCCTCTCCTGAAATGGGGCAGGTGGGGTGTGCGAGAGAGCCAGCCCTAGTCCCATGGTCTGCCAAAGCCCAGAGAGATCGTACGCTCACAAATCCAGGCTTAGCCCAGGGAGAGAAAGTAGACTGACCAGAAACGAACATTTACTGGACTGGAAACCCCTCCTGTATGAAACTCAGGGCCCCACACTTCCCGCTCGGAGTAGAACCTCACTGGAAATAGCAAATCAAATTCAAGAGCATTAAAACAAGTCCCTCAACATTAGTGAAATTCCTGTCAACGCGAGCTTAGCTTGGGAGGGAGGGCTCCTTTTTAGGCCACCAGTTCAAATCTAACCCCCGCCAGCACGGACTGCCCCATTCTTAGGGGAGAGGTGTCTACACCACACAAAAAAACCCCAGGACAGTTGGCACAACACTGTCCCTTGTTAGTGAGCTGGATCAAAGTGGCCCAGGGAGGCTAAATGCTGCTTTCCCCTCCAGGGATGGTGGGGTCAGATCAGGGACTTTGGCAGAGGGGAGCAATAGGTGAGCCCTGTTTGGTGGAGGGATACTAGTGAACAGGGCACTTTTCACAAGTCTGAGAATGCACTTACTGGGCAAATCAATCTGAGCGAGAAATACTTAAGGGCCCGGCTGTAGAATGAACAGCAGCACAGGGGTTTACTGATTTCCCCTTGTTCTTTTTTTCCCCCCTCAGATGCACGGCAGTCGGTCACACCTTCTGCAGCGTTGATGAACGCTTGTGCTGTCGTGCACCATACTTGAGGCCACAGTTTTAACCCTTCAGGTTCACTCTTGACAAGAGCAAAGTGTCAGAGACAAATGAAGCAGGAAAAACTGATCGACTGGGATTTCTTCCATCCCCCGAGTTACCTCTCCGTCAGCAAGGAGCTGAGAGCACAGACCAGGGCATCACCCTCCACAGCCTGCACACTAGGCTACGTCTAGACTGGCATGATTTTCCGCAAATGCTTTTAACGGAAAAGTTTTTAATTAAAAGCATTTGTGGAAGAGAGCATCTAGATTGGCAAGGACGCTTTTCCGCAAGAGCACTTTTTGCAGAAAAGCATCAATGCCAATCTAGACGCGCTTTTGCGCAAACAAGCCCTGATCACCATTTTCGCGATCAGGGCTTTTTTGCACAAAACAAATCTGAGCTGTCTACACTGGCCCTTTTGCCCAAATGGGAGCAGCATAGTATTTCCGCAAGAAGCACTGATTTCTTACAGTAGGAAGTCAGTGTTCTTGTGGAAATTCAAGCGGCCGGTGTAGACAGCTGGCAAGTCTTGCCAGTCTAGACGCAGCCTAGGGGTACATCTGCACTACAGTTTTGTTGGGAAAACGGCCATTTTTCCGACAAAACCCAAGTTACGTCCACACTGCAATGGGTTCTTCCAAAAGTAAATCAAAAGAACACAGAGGCTTTTCCAGCGCTGGTAACTCTCTTTCTACAAGGAAGAAGCCTTTTTCTGCAAGAGCTCTTTTGGAAAAAGGCGTGTGTGGACGGGGACGAGGGAGTTCTTTCAAAAGAAGAGGGAAGAGGAAAAAGCACTGGTGCCCTGGCGGCCACTCTGCCCATAGGAATCACAGTTTACATGCGAGAGAGAGTCCGTTCAGCATGGATGCTCTCTTTTGAAAAAGCAGATCGCTTTTTTGATGCGCTTGTGTGTGTGTGGACGCTCTCTTTTAGAAGAGGTTTATTCGGAAGATTTCTTCCGAAAAAGGGTTCTTCTGAAAGAAGCCTGTAGTCTAGACATAACCTAGGAGTGGGGATAGCTGGTAGCTTGCACACAACTATTATCCGTTTCTTCTAAGGGCACTTGCCAGACAACATGCAAAGACTATCTGGATGACCAGCTTGCCTCTGGATTACAGAGCCACATCAGTCTCCCCCCCCCCACTTCAAAAAAAATTGTAAGAGCCAACTCTGTGAAAAGCCAACTACTAGTGTTATTTCACCTTGGCGACACAAAGCACAAGACCTGACCCAATGCTGAAGGGGTGGGTGGAGGGGAGAGGACAGATGACTGGAGAATTCCACATGTACAGGCAACCCCTGCACTTACGACCTAATCGGTTCCTGGAGAGTGGTCATAAGTCAGGCCATCGTAAGTCGAACCCTTATTGCCCATAGGGGCGATGTTATGAATGGGGGTCCCGTTTCTGGCCGGCTTTGCCTTCTGGGAGTTGTAGTCTTTGGGAGCCAGTGGCGCAAATGGCACCCAGAGCCGGCCAGGGGCTGTACCAGGTGGCCACCAGAGCAGGGCGGCCGTAAATGTGTGTGGGGGGGTCCTCAGGTTGGGAGGTCGTAAGTCAGGGTCACCTGTATTTCACATCAACCAAATCTCCTCTTGAGCCTCCAACTCAAAGGAATAATCTGACCAGCAGGGACTTAAATACCTGCTCCCAGGCAGGGGATTGGAGGAAGCAAAATGTCAGATCCCTTGGGTCAAGAAATCAACTGAGAATGAATGAAACCAAACTACACTCTGCTTGGCAGCAGTTACACAGAACCCTGCCCAACGCGCTGTACCAGTTCGGGAGTCTTTTGGCTTTTCTTCCTGATGCTGATCAGAACACTGGCGGTCACATTCTTCATTCAGAAATTACCTGTTAGATCTGAGGAATGTGTGTTTCTAAGGACAGGCCTGGTGAACGCACTTTGATGCCCTCCGCTTTCCCTCGCTTGTTCCACTGCGCTAGCCTAGCAAACCGCCTCTCCAAAAAGGGAGATTTTTGCCATTTCACTAGCGGTCTCACCACTTAAAATTGGTACAGTCCAATGCAAAAAACAAACACACCCCAAAAACAAAACACCCCAACATTTTTCAACACAGTAAGGAAAAGACGTTTAAGAGAGTTAGGTTATAATTTTACTGAGTTTAACAGAGCTACACATTTATACAAAAGTTTTTCAACCATTCGATATTAAAACTGAGACGCGAGGCTACAAAACCAGGCATATGAGATTCTTTAATCTTCACCCAGTTTGTGGAAATCTTGAAAGGAGCAATTGGACAGAGGCAGAAACTTTTCAAATGCAGCTTCAAAATGAAATCCAATGAATTCACAGAGAAATCTTCAAGCCAACCATTGTAGACCGGCATTGCAACATATTCATAGGCAGCTTTAAAATTCTAGGGGTTTTTAGCCTCATCCCCTCACATACAAATAAAAACATGCTGAACAGTTGAAATGCACAAATGTATCTTTCCTGAGGATGCACCATGCTTACATGGCAACTGGAAAAAAAGTGGGAAACAGCTATTCCAGACTTGAGAGAAAGAATTAAAAATTATATTTCCTACAGTAACTGGTAACTTTTAAGCACGTCTGCAAAAACAAATAAAATTGTAGGATCCTGCTCTTTAAAGCATTAGGTTTTACAAAAAGGAAAAATGAAGTACAAATGTAAAAGCTTCAAATAAATTTCAGAGTGACACGGGATATTTTAGACACAGATCAGGGACTATGTTGTCTTTGGTTTCATGTAAACACTGATATTTGTAAAGCATTAAAAAAATACAACCAACCATTGAAAGTTACATTCGAAACACAGAAAGTACTATTAGGAGACACGGCAGAACGGTTCTTGTGCAAGGGGGGGGTTTTGCACAAAAATGGCAGCTCATTAAGTATGCAAATGAAGTGTGGTGATATTCACCGCTTTGCCTCATTTGCATATTCTCTTGCACAAGAGGGGGCAGTCTAAACATAGCCTGTCAGATTTTTCAAGTCCACCGAGGGCTTTGGTTTGGAAATTAGGAGAGGGACAAGAATTCAGCACAGTTACATAGGTAGGGTGTTTATTCCAGAAACAGTAATTTCTTTTTTTGGGAACATGGATTGTTTGTTGGAAACGAGCAGAAAGATCAATAATTGCTCCAGAAACGCTGCTGGGTCGCTAATCCAACAGCTCGTAAAGTACTACTGCAGAGGCATGCACTGGGGCTAACCCAATCATCTAGGTAAAGGGATATTTTAGAAGTCGCACTCCATGGTCCTTAACGGCTCAGTTCATCACCCCAACACCTTTTAAACCCACAAACCCTCGTTTTCCAGTAAACCAACATTTCCTGTGGAGAGGTTAGTCACGTGTGTTTGGGTGCCTGAAATTCTGAACCAATTGACAACTCTAAAAAGAACTTTTTCCCAGGCTGCCATGGTAATCCTGGGCCTTAGCTGACCAATACGGTTTCATACATTTCCAGAGTTTTTTGGGGTCTACTGCAAACTGTTGTGGTAAACTAGAAACTACACAAGAACAGGCGTAAAAAGCTTTAGAGAGAGGAAGTGGGGAAAAGGAAAGAACATACAACAAATGCATTTTTATTTAGTTACTTCCATGCCCTCTAATCCAAGGCGCTGACCAAGATTGGGGGGGGACAGGGGGGAAAGAGAGAGAGAGACACACACACACACACAAATTATTCAGGCTTACCGTCTCATTGAAGACTTATCTTGAAGTTGGAGAATGTCCTATTTAGTGTTTTCCTTGAGCTCTGGCTTAATGCAGCTCCTACTGCAGCTGCCTCAAAACCACCCCCCAAGAAAGCAGGGATGCCTTGTGAAGATTTAACTTTCCCCACCACCTGCTGTTGCATGTCCGGGACCTACACCCCTGAAGGCTGCATTTACAGGACAAGCTCCATGCTCAAACGTTCCTAACTCTCTCCTGAGGGCTTGTCTACCCCACCCGCTTAAGTTGATGTAACTTCCGTCACTCAGGGGTGTGAAAAAGGTCACCCCTTTGGGCGACGCATGTATTGGGGACCTAAGAGCCGCCCGCCCCAGTGCTCAGACGGCGGAAAGGCACTCCCCCCCATAGCTTCTGCCCGTCGCTGTGGGGCACTCATTATGCCAAGAGGAGAGGGAGAGCCGTCTTCCATCAGCATAGTGCATCTTCACCAGACATGCTACAGCAGAGCAGCAGCCCTGGGAGCAAGGTGGGCATAAGGACTGGCCTCGACCATGTCGAAGAAGCAAGCGAGCTCAAACTCTCCCCACCATGGGACCCTGCCATCCCCTTTCCATGGGCAACCAGCTGCCTGGGAAGAGATTTAATCGCCTGCAAACTGAACACAAGACTGATCTGGTCCTGTTGCCTCCTCGCATCCCTTTGCAAATAGCTCTTAGGAGACACCTGCTCTTACGTGGGCTCTGCTAAGTACCTTCAGCCTTCGGTCAATACTGCAGGGAAGACAGGCCTACCCCCGCTGCTGGATTACTGCATCGATTTTAAAGGAGGTCGCGTTTCTGGGTCTCACCTTCCAGTGTCCTTTAAGTAACCAAGTAAAAAGCAAAACCTCAGCTATACAATTATTAAAACAAACTCAGTCTCCCTTCCCGTGGCGGTCAGAAGCCGCCGTGCGCAGTGTCCCACGAGGGACCACAGAGCAACAAAGCTCCATCCAAGAGGCTCCCTTCGCCATCGGCACTTTGAGGAGCTGGATTCTCCCCCGGCTCCTCCCAGCATCCCCGGCTACAGGAAAAAGAGCTTCTCGCTGAGCTGAATAGCAGGCTCATGGTGCAGAAACTGTCCGGAGAGAAAGGCCAGCTTGTGGGCATACTTGCAAGGGGCTGGGACTCGGATGGTGCCGGGCCAGTTCCAGTACATGTGGCAAAGCTTGAAAGTCAACCTAGAAACAGGAGGAAAAGAGAGTCCATTAGTATTCGTACCTCCCGACTTGGGACGTGGCGTATCCTACCCACAAGCGGCACGTGCTGAGGGATGGCTCCTTTCGAGGCCACCGGAGAGGCGCGCGTTAAGGGCCAAACCCTTCGCACTGAACGGTCGGACTGCGGCAAACCTGTAACCTCTCTCTGACGGCGGCACACGAAATGTATTTGGAACACTAGGAGTCTTCAAAGGGTATCAGCTCAACTTTATGAACCGTCTATGCATCGCAAGGGGCAAGGGATTTCCTTCTGGCCCCAGGAGCGATTTGCAAGGAGCTTCTTGCAGGAACTGGGTGAGGATTTGTCAGTGTCAATCCCCAGCAAGGAAAATTCCCTCTGCTTTGTGGAAAGCTGCATAGACCAGTCCTAGCAGGTTAAAAGGAGGCCACCAAAGCTGTGCAAAGTGACCATGTGCACCTTAGGGGGAGGTCACTCTCATTCAATCCAAGACCCAACACAGCTATAACCCATGGACCACCTCATAGCAACTGACAGAGCACAGAGGATGCATAGGGCTGTCCCGGGGTTCCTGGGTCAGACATCTAGCTCACCCATGGGGGTCTGTGAGCCCTCTGCCGTGTATCTGCACTGAAATTACGCTCTTAGAGTTAAGGCAGGTTAGCAGGAGGAGACAGATTAGAGACACCCAGAGGAAAGTAAAGGACACCGCCGACCCCCTGCCTGGCCAGTTGCATATTGTGCACCTCACACTGTGTGCCGAAGATCACACTTACCCAGGGTGAATTGAGAGATTATTCTAGAACGAGAATCAAGGGGCTTAAATTGCAACAAAGAAGGTTTAGGTTGGACATTAGGAAAAGATACCTCACTGTCAGGGTGGTTTAAACACTGGAATAAATTGCCTAGGGAGGTTGTGGAATCTCCATCTCTGGAGATATTTAATAGCAAGTTGGACAGACACCGGTCAGGGATGATCTAGACCAGGGGGGTTCCCAACCTGGGGTACGGGGAATATTTTGTAAATAACTAGATTACCCTCATTGAAATATTCCAAAAGTAGCAGTGTTAGTGAAAAAAGTTGTGGATTCTAGAATCTAGAATCTATTTCCTTTCATATTGAATAGGGGGCATGGGAAGGTTTATTAAAAGCCAAGGGGGTACAGGGACCGAAAAAGGTTGGGAACCCCGATCTAGTCGGTGCTGGGTCCTGCCGTTGAGGGCAGGGGACTGGATCGGATGATCCATCAAGGTCCCTTCCAGTTCTAGTGTTCGATGATAAGTACAGGAACAAACAGCAGGAGGGTTGAGGAATTCTACCAAAATGATGTGTCTGGTATATCCTGTAATGCAAAGCGATCTCAGAGTCACACTGATCTATACCCAACAGGGCGGGGCCTGAGTAGAGGGACTTTGGGTGAGCAATACTTCCTCTAACAACGTACTGCGTTAAGTTAGTCTGGGCTCTAGAATGGATGCTAAGACTCAAGTTCATACATAACCTTTACGGACATAAAACTGGCTGGATTGTCAGGCTCAACAGGTATCAATCAACAGCTCGGTGTCTCGTCGGCAGTGCTATCAAGAGGGGTTGGTTCTGTTCAACATCTTTATTAATGACCTGGACGAGGGGATGGATTGCACCGCAGCAAGTTTGCAGATGACACTAAGCTAGGGAGAGGGGTAGATACATTGGAGGGTAGGGGCAGAGTGACCTGGACAGATTGGAGGACTGGGCCACAAGAAATCTGATGAGGTTCAACAAAGACAAGTGCAAAGTCCTGCACCTGGGACAGAAGAATCCCAAGCATTGTTACAGGCTGGGGGCCGACGGGCTAAAGTGGCTGTTGAGCAGAAAAGGACCTGGGGATTCCAGTGGATGAGAAGCTGGATACGAATCAACAGGGCGCCCTTGTAGCCAAGGAGGTTGATGGCATATTGGGCTGCAGGAGGACGAGCTCTGCCAGCAGATAGAGGGACGTGATTATTCCCCTTTATTCGGCACTGGGGAGGCCACATCCAGAGTAGTGTGTCCAGTTTGGGGCCCCCTTACTACAGAAAGGATGTGAACAAATTGGAGAGATTCCAGCAGCGGGCAACGAAAATGATTAGGGGGCTGGGGAGAGGCTGAGGGAACTGGTCTGCAGAAGAGAAGAGTGAGGGGGGATTTGAGGGCAGCCTTCAACGACCTGTAGGGGGGTTCCAAAGAGGATGGAGAGAGGCTGTTCTCAGTGGGGGCAGACGACAGAACGAGGAGCAATGGTCTCAAGTTGCAGTGGGGGAGGTCTAGGTTTGAAATGAGGAAAAACGATTCCCTAGGCGGGTGGGGAAGCACTAGGCTGGGTTCTCTAGGGAGGGGGTGGAATCTCCATCCTTAGAGGTTTTTAAATTCCAGCTTGACACAGCCCTGGCTGGGATGACTGAATTGGGTTGGTCCTGCTTTGGGCAGGGGGCTGGACTCGATGACTCCTGAGGTCTCTTCCAGCCCTGAACTTCTGAGTCCGTGGTTTGTTTTCAAAACTTCTAGTTGCTACGACTTGACTCTCTGCTTTGCTTCATTTTACTATACACACGTCTAGTGCTGCGTGCTAAGTGGTGAGCAGAAGCTAAAGCGGGGTCGGGTGCTGCTTTGGAAGCCGCCAACTGGACTCCTCATGGAGAAGCTCGTCGGGCCTGCTGGTTGGAATGGACCCAGCGTGAACTTGCAGAGGGACAGCGGAGCCTTCAGCGGGTGAGCAGGGTTGGCTTGTCGTGCCCTGGTCTATTGGAGGTGGGGAGCTGACCCCCGGCAGGGACAGACAACACTGCCTCACGCTAAAGGCAGATGGTAGAGAGGTGCCTCGCACCCCTATGTACCCCAGTCACAATAACGCTGTGACCAAGACACCGAGGACAGGTGTTGAAGGACTCTCTTCCTAGCATGGTCTCCGTGCGGAAGACGGGCGACTGTCTGGTAAGCTGAGCCCTGCGTGAAGACGTGTTCTCTGTATCGCTTTCATTCTGAAGCCCCCGTCATTCCCCAAGGAACAGAAGGGCGGGTACTGAACCGAAGACAGGCAACAGTAGCACCATGAGCTGCAACTTCAATCTTAGAGGAGACTCAAAAGACCCCGCCCCCCCAAGAGGCTAAGGCTACAGGCCTGAGACCCTTGAAGAGGCCACAAAGGGGAAGAGAGGAGCCTGACAGCCAGCACCAGTGACTTCAGAGGAAGGTGCAAAATATCCCTACTGGACCATTATGGAGTAACTAGAAGGTTTACCCGGCCTTGCTCGGGCCCTTAACTCAAATAAGTTTTGTTTTCCTTCATGTAAACAACTATTCTGATGTGGGGTTGGGGAGGAGGGGGTCAGGACACAGGCTGCCCTGGGGAGAGAGGACAACCCGAGCCCTCTCTCACCACAGCAGCTTGGGGCCAGGTGAGAAGCGCCTCTCCATGGCTGCTGCAGCGCTAGAGGGCACAGCCAGGGGAGAGGTGCATGTCCCCCAGCTGGGGAACAGATAAACTCTCTGAAATAAACTAGATAGCTGTCTTTTTCTCCACTCCTGCCCCCTGCCGGGGTTACAGACGTGCCAGTCCCCATCTCTGGCCCCTTGCTGCCCTCCTGTGGTCATTCTGCAGCACAACTGTCCCTCCTACCAGACCCTCGCCTTCCATTTTATGAGAAATAATCAAATTCCAGGCACATCCCATGGTCCTAGCACAACCAAACCCTGCCCTAGCTTTAAGAGGAAGCTACACACCACATTTGGTGCTCCTAGCTCTTCCCCTTTAGGTGGAGTTCTTGACAAACAGGACTCTGACGGACCGACAGATGCACTTTTCTAAAATATACAGGAAGATTTATCCACAGCGGAAGTCTGTTCCTGATCCTCTCCTTAAAAAAAGCACTGACCTATTTCATGCAAACGGTGCATATGCTCATTATGCATAGATTTCTAACAGTTTTTTGAATCCTGCTCACTTATAATGGTCACGGATAGTTCCACAGGCTATGCGCTAATTATACATTGTAGAGTTTAATCACATTTACATTTTTTGTTCAATTCCATCGATTCTCCGTCCCCCTTTTGTATAATGAAAAAGGGGAAGTAGGAATGCCCAATGTGCCTTCTCTCTACCATTCATTTTTGAGTCTTTAGCACTCGGACCAATGAGCTAAAGCACGACCAGAAGTAATTTCCCCTCGTTCTTTGTAAAGGGATAGGTAAGCTGGTCTCCAGCTAGCTTCCATACAGAGAGCGTTGTGGAACAACAGGCCTTGGGGAGCGTTCCAGCTTTGCTGTTGTCTATTGCAAGATCAGTTCCCAACAGTATGTTCTGCTGGAGAACACGAGATTACAAGAAACGGCCAAACCAATCTGAGTTTGACCTCACGACTGCTGGACTTTGCCCACGGTTCCTCCATCCCCGTTCAATAATTTCCAGAATAACCCAAGCTAGTATGTTCCTGAAAAAGAGAAACAGGAAATACCATGCAAGGACACCCATGTGGCAGGCAACCCTGCCTTGCTGAGTAGGACAAATGTTGCAAGTCAAGGCAGAGTTCATTTCCAAAATGAAAATGTGCCGCGCTGGATCAGGTCACTTCACCAGTAAGTCCACCACACTGACTCTCAGCAGCAGACAGCCAATATTTCGGGGGGGGGGAGGGGGGAGCAGCTGCTGAATGCACCTTAGCAATCACATCAGACAGCACAAGGGAGTAACCGGCACTTCTCTTTAGAGCAGGGTTCGGACAAAGATGTCGCAAAACACTGAGGACTTGAGGTACAGGGTGTTACAGCGTCACCTTCAGCTACTCAGCCTCTCTCTCTGCTGCGCAGTTTCGTAAAGAGGGGCCTTTGGCTCTGCGCTCTCACCTCTGCATGTGGTCGGGACTGAGGTTGGCCGTGTTAAGCACACAGATATAGTGAGTCGGGATGCCGCAGCCCTGTCGGACGTGATGCGCCAGCAAGAAAAAGTCCACCCTGAGAAGGAGAAAGAGAAACACTGTAAAGAGAGTCAAGTCGTCCGTGCGCAGACAAGAGAAAAGCCAGTGGCTGTTTCTTAAGCAGAGCGATTAAAAGCGTTTTACACCGGAGGCTGAGTTTGCTTTATCAAGGCCCCATTCTAAGTTGAAATCACTGCACGACCTCACCGCTTACACCCTCGGCGTGCCCTCCCACAGTAACATCTACCCAGCCAGGGTACAACAGCAATGCCTACGCGCTAGCGATGCAAGAGCTCTTATGCACGGCTGCCATAGCCTTGCTGTACCCCACCCCTAACGTATTTCAGTCTATATTCATGCAGCACGTTGTGTGGTGGAAAGCAACTGAAGAAATGGATGGGAAATGTAAGCAAGGACAGAGCCCAACCCCTCCTTATCAACATGCTAGGAAAATGTTTTTATCATTGCAGCTGCTGCGTTGCTCCCAGGAAAGAAGACAGAATCTCTTATTGGACCAACTTCTGTTGGTGAGACAAAGCTTTTGCACTTACTTAGAACTATTCTCCAGGGATATTGTTTCATGTACAAAGCAGACAGGGACTCTCTTTGCAAGGCCCTATGAGAAAGCATTCTAGAGCAAATGGCATTACACGGTTTACTTGCCTCAGTAGGCTGCCTTAAGCCAGGGCTACTCAACACGCGGCCTGTTTGTTTGCAGCCCGGGTTTACGTGGGGCTCAACATGCGGCCCACGGGTGGGCTCCATTGATCATGGCCTCCACTGGGGACACACTTCACAACGGCGAGGCGACTCCCAGGCGGGGTGAGCACTGAAAGACGCAAGCAGACTGGAACACGCCTACAGGGAGTTGGCGTTTCTAGCCCCCCGGGAGGTGGTGCGGGGAGCGCCGGGGCATTGTGTGAAAAATTATTTGCATACATTTGCATGTCTATGCAACCACACTTAAGTTGCGGCCCTCGGCATGTGCTGTGAGTATCGTTGTGGCCCCCGGGGCTTCCAAAGTTGAGTAGCCCTGGCTTAAGGGCTGAACTGAACTTCTGGGGTCTAGAAAGTCTATGTATCAACTTCACTAGTGCATCCTCTGTGGCTAGAAAGGGCAATTTCCTGCCCTTTGCTCTGGAACTAAAATACGTGCTAGGTTTGCACAAGCACCCCTTTTAGTGGCAGTTACAGAGTGATGGAGGGAGGGAACATGGAGGCTGCCAAAGAACAGACTCTGTGGGGCACCTGCCACTCACCAGTCTCTGCAGGTGACAGTGTGGTCAATTACAGTCCCTGGAACAGGGCTTACAAAGTGCTCAGTGGAAGCAGAATAGAGAGTGGTGCTGATTTTCTTCTGCACCACGAAGACTACCATCTTGGGGTGGTAGTTCTCAAAAGCATCAAAGCACGTCTGGAGCTGTGGGATCTCGTAGTGCGCCACAGTGGTCAGCTGGCTGTCCGACACCCCATCTCTGTAAACAGCTATCTTCTCGGGCAGACAGTGATTCACCTGAGCAGGAAACAAGACAAAGAGTGGACGCTTCTTCACTGGGGCTTTTCCAAGGGAGGCTAGATAGGCGTCGGTCTTCGATTTAGACACAACAGATTCTGAAGCTTGATGGGGGGCAGGGTTAGACTAGATGAGCTCCGTGGCCCCTCCTAACCCTATGATTGTAAGACGGTTCTAAGGTAACATGGGTGAATTTGAGGTCTTAGTGCAGTACAGCCTAATGCTGTGAAGGAGGGTGAATTATACTTGGGATTACGATCCAAGAGCCCACAAATATAAGGTCAAGTACCATCCTGGCTCTGTAAGGCTTAGTCTACACTTCAGGGTTTTTGCACAAAAAGCCTTTTGCGGACGAGTTCTTGCGCAAAAGCGCGTCCAGATCTCAAAGCACATTGCAAAAGCGATGTGCATTTGCACAAGAGAGCGTCCACACTGCATGGACACTCTTGAGCAAGAAAGCTCTGATTGGCATTCACTGAACAGCCATCAGAGCACCTGTGCTTTTTCCGATAGGGGTTTCTAGCTCAAAAACCCCTCCGGAGCATCCACACCTGCCTTTTTGCACAAGAGCTGCAGTGCAAAAAGGAGTTATTCCCCATGAGGAGAGGAATAACTCTACCGGCAAAGCCCTCTGTTCTGTGGATTTTCTTGCGCAAAAACACGCTTGAGGTGTGGACGCTCTGCCTGTTTTTGCGTAAAACCCTTGTAGTGTAGACACAGCCTAAGAGAATACCCACTGGCATCAGCGGACAGTTTGACATGGACTTTTAGTTAAAGTCACTGCTGCGTGCAGCATCACTTGGTGGGACTGAGGTCAGTAACTGTGAACCTCAACTGCTAACTCCTAACGCTCAGGATAACACAGAGAGTTAACATCCAATTTTGAAGCCGGGTTTTTCAGGCTGAGATAATGCTGCCTCAGTTTCTATCTGGAAGATTATAGCCCCAACCACACGGCCTAGAAACTTATTCTGTGAAGTGAAAGCCTGCATGCTGAGAGACACAATGGGCCACAAGCACTACACAAGCACAAAGACACACTACTGAGCCTTGTGCGTGGGGTTTCAAGGCAGTCAGTCGGCTGTTCGACACCAGTCACTGCTAATTGAACCGCAGTCCTGAAAGATGCTGGTTCATCGATCCCCATGTGAAATGAGTTGGCCGGGTCTCAGTCCAGCCCCAAGGGAACAAGTCTCCACATTCTAAAAAGCCACCACCATCACAACCAGCACCCTTTTGGGCAGTCTCATCAGAATACCATGGACTGAATGGGCCACAAACGGAATCCCCCTCCTTCCTCTACAAGCACACTCATTCTAAAGCTCCATTAAGGCCACCGCTATCCAGGAATGATCTATCCTGCATCTAGACTTCAGTTTCAGGGCGGTCAATCTGGCACCTTCCTCAAGAGATAAAAGTCCACTGTATCTAATTGATACCTTTATAAATAGGACTTCTTTTTAAATTGGTGCCTTTGCACCTCAAAGCCTGAAAGTAGACCTGACTGCAAAAAAGCCATCCTCCCAGACACGCGGACGCCCATTTTAGCTGAAAGCATATACACGATGTGCTGAAGTAGAGAAATAATCAAGCAGCAACGTAACGACCCTTACACTTTCGCATAGAGCGGACCATTCCTTTTTTGCACCGAGGGAATTTATGACGAGATAGAAGTGCTGAGGTTGTTCAAAGACAGGGGAGTCTAACCCATTAAGACAGATAGCAGCACTGACGGCGAGAAAAGCTATTCAGCAAGAGCCCCAGTTGCACAGTAGCCTTCACTGAGGTAATTAAGCAAGTCCCTGAGATAAGGAAAATCATACATGCCGTGCCAAACTAGGGGCCATTTCAGCATTTTCGATTCAAGGCGAGGTCTGCAAAGTCTCTTATTCACTCGCTTCACTTTCAATGGTTTCTGCTTTTATTTGAGACACAATAGTGGGTTAGAAGGAGTTAGGTCTGACTCGGTGGATAGAAATGTCTCCTGTGGATAGACATCAGGGTCCACTGATCCACAGGGTTGTTCTCCCAAGAGCTAGTGGCCACTAGAGAGGAGCGCGGTCCTGTTGCACCTGGGAGCCAGCACCCCCCACAAGCAGCTCCTCCCCCAGCCTGGCTGCATTACCCCCAGCCCTGCCGCCAGCAGGGTTGTACGACCCCAGAGAGGAGATGCTGCAGCTAGAGGCGTGGCTAAGTGAGGTGCAGCCCTGATGCTGGTGCTGGTTCCATGCTCCACTCCACTGACCGCGGTGTCTCTTGGGAGCAGAGCCCTGCAGATCAGCCGATCCCGACGTCCACCTGTGGATATCCGCATCTGCAGGTAGACACTGCTAACCACGCAGGGCTCTACACGGTGAGTATCGTCCATCTAACCCGCTACTCTGTCTCTGATGTGCCCAGCACTGGAGGTTTAGGAAACAGGTGCAAGATGCATACGCAGCCAGCCAATATGGGACAATCTACCCCTCACATGTAGTTAAGAGACTGGCTTAAGCCCTGAAGCGCAAGGTTTCATGTTCCTTCCAAATTGTGTGTCATTAAGTAGAACTCTGGATATTCTTGATATCCCTAGAACTATCCCAGTTCTTTTTAAATCTGTAAGTGGCACCCAGAGCTCTTCATCCTAGGGTGCTGAACAGAGATGGTGCCTGCCCACCTGAATACCGCGAAGGACACGTATGTTTCTCTTTGCAGTTTCATCAATTTCTCGTAGTGGTCAGCAGGGCCTGCACATGAAGCGGGGGAAGGGTACACTTTACCAGGGCCCGGACGCCCAGGGGGCCTGGCCCAAGCAGAAATTGTGGTGTGGGCGTGGAAGGGACCCATGTTACAAATCTGTACTGGACTCAAAAAAATTTTTGCTTGGGTCCAGGCAGTCTGTGAAGTCACCCTCTACATTTCCTCACCTCGTAGAACTTCTGTAAGGCCCCGACCAGGCAAAGCTTCAAACTGTCTGCAATTTCCTGATGAGGCATCTGGAACACAACCCTAGAATACCACTTGGTGAGAACACTGGTGGCAGAAGGAGAAAGGTAAATATTACCTACAGGACGCGTGGAAGCCAAAGCCCAAAAGAGTTACACAAATCAAAACAAATTCTGCTCCAGCTTTGCATTCGTCTTTTCTCGGACTGTTTCTAAAAGGACTCAGCAATAGGAACACCATGTGATCAGAGATAACGCCGACCAGTCCTTGGCATTGGGAATTGGTGATACCAAGCAAACAAGTTATTAGACCCTGTTGAAAAGGACAGCCAAGGTTAAGTCAACATTTTTTTTTCTGTTTTAGTAAGGGCAAGGCAGTGCCATAAAGTGACAATATTGATAAAGAAAAAGTTTCGCTTCCAGTCAAGCGATGTAACTTTTCCATCACAACTGCAGCTCTCTAGCAGTTCAAACGCAGGAGAAGCACTCAAGACGAGAAAGCTTTTCATCTGGGTATGACAATGTGCAATTTCAATCACAGGCACTTCCAACAAGAGGCAGTCAAAAGCCTGGAAGAATAAGACAAACTTCCCAGAGCCTCCCGCTTTGCTATGGGCCAAGACGTATTGTGTGGCTAATTGATCAGCACCCCAGAAAGCAGCAGGAAATACATCAAGCTGGAGAAAATTGATCAAAACAGCAACTGCCCTACTTGGGACCTATCGGACCTTCACTGTGACAGAAGATTCTGGAACATTCCATTACATAAGAACAGTCAAACTGGGTCAGACCAAAGGCCCATCCAGCCCCGTGTCCTGTCTGCCCACAGAGGCCAATGCCAGATGCCCCAGAGGGAGGGAACACAACAGGGAATCATCACGTGATCCCTCTCCTGTCATCCATTTCCAGACAAACAGAGGCTAGGGACACCATTCCTACCCATCCTGGCTAATAGCCATTGATGGACGTAACCTCCATGAATCTAGCTCTTTTTTGAACCCTGTTAAAGTCCTAGTCTTTACCACATCCTCTAGCAAGGAGTTCCACAGGTTGACGGTGCGCTGAATGAAGAAAAACTTCCTTTTGTTTGTTTTAAACCTGCTGTTTTATTAAAACAGCAGATCCATCCATCTCCCCCTGCAGTCCACACCATGGGTCAGACGCTCTGCAAACATCACTGGCTCCTGTGTGAGGCACACCCCTCAGCCACACATGGAACAGCTTAGAGGCCCAAGTTTTACAGGCTGTAAACGGGCAGCCCCCACTCTAGTACAGACACCACTTACTGATTGGTGCTTGCAACAAAGCCAACCACAGAGCGCATCCCCCTGCTGGGGTCGTGGTACACATCCATGCCAATCACCATCAGCTGCTTCTGGAAAGGAGAAAGGAAGCTGAGTAGAGTGGGGATCTGCTAGGCATAGGCATAACTCACCACCTCGCTGGAAATTTTATCTGAACCAGGGGTGTAGCCACGGGTGGGCCTGAGTCGGCAGGAGCTCAGGGACCCACCCACTTGTCATCCAGTCCCACCCAACCTCCTGGTCCAGCTCTGAGAGAGAAGATCGGGACAGGAGGGTTCGCCCTGCTTTGCCCACTCCTGCTGAGAACTGGGATCTCAGCTTGCCCCATTCAGCCTGTCTAGTGCTCCAGCCAAGGAGCCAGGCTGGGGACTTGCTCCGCTCCTCCCACCTGGAGCCCCCAATCCCCAAGCCTATTCCCTGCGTGGAGTGTGCTGGACAGGGGGCAGCACAGCTGGGGTGCACTTTGCTAAAGCCCCCCTATTTTTCCAGGACCCTGGGCCAGAGTTTCTATCGTGCCCCAGGGCTGAGGGTGGACAGGTGACTCCAATAGCTTTTGCCCCGGCCTCCTGTCACGGTCTGTCCAACCAAGAGTCCCAGTCTCCCTACGCCACTGATCTGAACCCTCCCTAAAAAGCAAAATAGTAGAGCTGGATTAAACAACAAGACCCCAGCGCTGGGCTTAGCTCTGATGGTCATAAAATCCCCGGAATTAATCAAAAGTGGCTAGTCACCAGCAGAGAGCCAGCCAGGCAGTTCGTTTGCTCTGTTCTTCACAAGTACGCCCGGATGGAGGGAAGTGCTACCGCACTCATTTTACAGACAGGTAATGGAGACACAGGCAGAGTTAGCACCCACACAAGAGGTCTGTGCAGGGTTAGGAATACCCATGCTTTGAGTATTAGGCTAGCGTGCTGATGGCCTATAAGAGGCAGGTTGAGGGAAAGGCGTATGTTCCCCTGGGAAAGAGGCAGGAAGGTGGATAGCTACCAGAGAGGCTGAACACCCCTTTCGCACTATGGACTATTCCTTGTCTATTCGATCTAGGACGAATTAATATTTGCGCATGCTTGTGGCAGGCGTGTGTGGAAAGGAACCCAAGGACGCAGGAGCGGTCACAGATGAGAGCCCTGCACCTACAGTCAAGGTGCCTCTCTCGAGGGAAAGAACTTCTGCCTGGCTTACCAATGGGATGTCCACTCCCCAGAGCTCCCCACCTAGCTTGCAATTAATCTGCAGCAGAATTTTCTGTGCGATGCTCCTTAACTTGATTGGCTGGGACACGATGGTTCGAACGTTGATGACCTGCAGCAATGGGAAATATTAAAAAACCCCACAAAACCCTTAACTCCAGCGAAGTTTTTAAGATGGCAAAAGCAGGGTCTATTTTTCCTCACCCCAGACTGCATTCCTACTATACGCCAATCATAAACGTAACAGATTGTGCATGCATATTACAAGGCGTCCTTCTATACCACTTTAACAGCTGTTAAGTTTCTCCATTAGTATTTTATTTCTTCGCTTTTCCCCAAATCTCATTAAGTTTAACAAGAAGTAAAAGTTTGTATCTGTTAAAGCCTGTCTAACCAAATTCTGATCCCTGGATCTGCAAGTGTAATTCTAATTATGTCGAGAGTTTTGAATGTGCATTTAAGGGCAGAATTTGGACTTTGCTTAACAAAAAAGACACAGATGCACTGAACACAAAACCTGATGCCCATCCAGCCCTTCACCCCCCATTTCAACTAAAGCTGGCAAGTATTTATAAGAGACCTCAGTCTTATATAAAAGAACGGGTAGTCCTGTGGCACCTTAGAGACCAACTAAAATACAGAGAATCATAGGCTTTGATGGGTAAAACCCACTTCATCAGATGAATGGGAGTGGAAATACAAGAAACCAAGAGATAGATATATATAACAGAAGAAAAAGTACCTGTCAATTGTGCCCCATACATAGCTTTTGATGTGAAAACACAGATGCTAAAGGCAGGAGAAATTGGCTTGGTAACATGCCAGCCAATTAACCTCTTTGCTCAAGCCCAGGGTAACGGTGTTCAATTGGAAGACGAATTCCAGTTCTGCAGAGTGTTTAGCGGTATGCAGTAAAATCATGCGGCTTATTCACGGTCCCCTTAAGAGTCAGGTGAAATGACGATGATTTTGTGTTACTGTAGGGCTTGGTTTATTTTTAAACGTGGCCAGATGAGCGTGCCTGCTCTGTTCCTTCGAGAGGTACGTTAACTCCAGAGAGAAACGTGCTGAGAAGCCTCAAATGTAGACGAGGATGAAGTGGGAAGTATTTTGTGGTCTCATTCCCGGCTAGAACTTGGAGTATGGAATCCCGTCTCCACCATCCCAACCGGTCCCAAGAAGGTCACTGCGATGTTATCGCTGACTCACCTGAGAGGGTACCGGCAACTGCACACAGCACAGCTTTTTAATGGCGCCATACAAGTCATCTCTGGTCCCGGTGATGATACAGACCACCATCTGTATCTTACCCTTCAGGAAATAAGTGCAGAGTCAGGTGTTAGCATCGCAGATTTTGCTGGTTGCTCACTGACTTCGCTCTGCCTTTGCAGTGGAATGAATGCAGCCCTCCCTGAGTAGCACTGTGGTGAAGGAAAACACACAATCCTGTCTAATAGAGCAGCAGCCAAGAGCAGTACCACAGGGATCTGTCAGAATGAGCAGAATCCTCGCTAGCAGCCTATTCCTATAGCTATGCCAATATTCTTAAACATCGATTCGGGACAGTTAGACCTTCAGCATAAGAACTCTGGGCCTCAATCGTTCTTGGGCCTCCCCAGCTCCCTCTGCCTGAAGGGAGGCCTGGATTTGGGAGCCCAGGTCTTCAGCAACAGCCCCATGAACCGTGTAACCCCAATGTTCCTTTCTAGTATCTAAGCCCTTCGCTGATGGGCTGGCATCCAGCCGCCATGACATGAACAACAGCAATTAAAGCAAACCTCGTGCTTCATTTAACTGAGATAACAAGCAGCCAGGCGTTGATAGCTGCATGTTGTGAAAGATCCCATGGCACAGAAAGCTGGAAAATAATTGTTCCACAAATAACCAACGTAAACAGGCGAGCCCTTATCGCCAGGGCAGTGCAGAGGAGCATTACAAGTGCAACATCTGCATTAGATCCCAGGGACAGGATGTGGGCAAGTAGCAAAGTCTCTCAAGACCTCTGCTGATCAAGCGTCTATCTTCAAACACCACAAGCAACGTGCCGCACTGGATAGCTGTTAATATATTAATTCAAGATAAACTACTGAGAGGCTGCAGTTGGAGAGCAGAGCCAAGGCCATCCTGAGGGGAGCCCAGGCCAAACCCCACACCAGGCGTGGGACCTACCCTGCCCCAAACCCCACCCCTGCTCCCCCAAGCAATGCAGCCTGGATTACAGGGGGCCTGATGCAGCTGCAACAGGAATCACACCCCCATACTCACCACATGGGCGGCAGGAGCTGGAGCAGCCCTGCAGCCTGCTCCACCCCGCTGCCCTCAGTTTCTCCGTGTCGACGGGCAGTGGAGAGCCCTGGAGCCAGAGCGTTCGGCTTCCTGCTGCCACAGAGAAGCCCATGCACAGCAAGCCGGGAGAGGGTGACAAAGTGGAGTGGTGCAGGCTGCTGGGGCACTCCGGTTCCTGCCACCCACGTGCTGAATAAAGGGGGGGGCACCTCTACTGCCCCCTCCCCATGCCAGCCCTGTAATCCCCCTGGTCCCTTCTATTCATAGGATAGTTGGTATGGCCGCCATGAGGCCCCCCACAAAAGGCAGGGCCTGGGATAGCCACCCCAATTCGCCCTATGGGTGGGACAGCTCTGAGTAGAGCAACTCCACATGCAAGTCTCACACAACAGTCCACAAAGGGGAGACAGCAGCCGAGGGGGCTAAGGAGGTCTGTTCCCCACACACAGGGCCTATATAGCCCTGCAGAGATTTCCTGCTCCCCTGATTTGTATTTAGGGCATACCTGAGTCGGATGCCTTCGTGATGCTGCGAGACTGAAATAGGACCATTTACATTCTCGATTTGCCACTCAATCGATTTCAACTAGTCTTAAAGCATGTCATAGAAGGGGTCTATGGAAAGGTTACGATTTACTAAATAAGATTATCCAGTTTAAATCCGTATCTCACCCATGCAGGAGTTACCCTAGGGACAGCCTCAAGGTAGCAGACATTAGGGATGAGAAGGTTTAACCAGTTTAAGGGTGAGGCTTACCAGGTAAGGTTAAGTGATGGGGACTGCCAGGGCAGTCCCTGCCTGGGGGGGGAGGGGAGAGGGAGGGATGCCCTGGCCCATTGCAGGCAGGAGGTGCTCTAGTATCCAGCTAATTAAAATCATGGCAGACCACAGATGTTGCTGGACCGGAAAGTGCTGGACTAGAGAGGTTCAACCCACACCCTTCTCTGGACATTCCAGCCATTCAGTTAACGAAAGTCTTTTCAGAGAGGTTAACTCTTGAAACCTAACCCTAATTGTGTTGCCTAGAAGGGTTAAAACCAAAGATAGTGGGTCCTAGAGAGTCTCCAGAAATGCTAGGGAAGCAGGCAGTTAGTTAACAGGAGGCCAGGACAGCCAATGGAAACAGGAGTATAGGCTTCTGAATCAGAAGCAGTGACCTTTCTGTTCCTGTCTGTGTGGGACCAGAGCAGAGCTGGACAGACATGAATTAAGCCTGGAAGCTAGGCAAGGACATCTAGCAGCATCCATGCCTAGGGAAGGACTAAATCTTGAATCTACAGATATGAGAGTCGGACAGGGACTGTTTAGTCAGACGCAATCAGGTTATTTTCTATATTTTGAACTTTTGTGCTAAGCACATGAGCCCCTTATACTGTAAACTGAATCCCCGGGAAGTATTCCTCCCCCCCCCAGGTGGTCTATAATAGCTAGCAACAAAATAACGTCACCAAGTGTATTTTCTGTTGTTAATAATTAAAAAAAAGACAACCACCCTTTTAAAGAACATGATCTGATTCCGGTGTCCTAGAAGGCAGGAGGTCTGTGTGTACGTGCCTAAGACCGCAAGCCATACTAGTAGGATAAATTAGTTTTCCGAGCGCTCTCCAAAAGGAAGGGTTAAAGAGATTGAGTGTACCTCACAGGAAGGAACTCCCAAACGAGTCCAAGTTCTCAAAGAGGATTTTTTTGCTTTTGGGTGGTGGTGGCAAAACCAAGCCAACGCCAAAGAACCTGTGACCTTGGGGAGTTTCTAAACAGAAGCCTTTAGAGGCAGAATATTTTAGAGTCAAGTGCAGGCTCCCACCTTCTGCACTCGAAGTGCCAGAGTGGGGAACAGCCTTGATCTCTTTTAAATAGGAGTACCCAGACCCTATTCACTCTGTCCCTCCCTCCCTCTTACCTCAGTGCCCAAGATGGACTTGATAGTCCTAGCATAGGTCTCTGTTCGATCATCCTTCAATTCCACCCAGGCAGGCTGGCTTAACTTCATGCCAATGGGGCCAGAGACTTTCTCCAGCACGTTGACCAACTCGCGTGCTTGGTCCACGGCCCGTTTTGGATAAAACAATGCCCAATAATACATGGGAATCTAGGAGCAGAACCAGACAGCCAACATTATCACAGAGCTCATATGAGCGGAGACGGTGGTGATTTCACCAGAAACGTTTTACCAAGCCAACAATAAACCCTCATTACCCACCCTCTGAAATAGATGCATTTTGGTTTTACAGACAAGGAAACCAGGGCCCAGAGAAATTCAGTGGGGCACCCAAAGTCAAAGGAAGAGCTGGGAAAGAATACAGAAGACCCACTGATGGAACACTTCTTTCCTTCACCTCCTGCCAAAATTTGAGGCAACACAGCCAGAAAGCAGACAAATGTACATCTGCACCACAGAGTGCACTTCCACAAGTCTTGCTCTCCTGTTGCACTTTAATCTACACAAGCTTGGGAGGAAAATTTAAAAAAAAAGTTACAATAAGTGATAAAAAAAGATTCTGAATTCTAGTTCCAGATGAAACACTTCCAAACCTCCCCTAACAGAACGCGTCCATCAGCAAGCACATTCTGAGGAAAGACTTTTCCCACCAGGTTTGATAGATCTAGTGCTTTGGAAAAAATCTAACTTCTTGTCCAGCAAGGACTGAAGCAGTCCAGGTACCAGTACAGCTTGTGCCTTCCCTAAATTAGAAATCAAAGGGGCGCTTAAAAAAACAACAACAACAACAACCACCCCCAGCTGAACAGGCTGCTCCACTTTCCTGGTATTGGGAAGCAACCTGTCTGTCTGCAGCGGACTTTACCGTAGAGATGGCAGCTTCTCTCATTATTTCTTTGGTCCAGTTTAGATCCTCAGAAGTCATTAAAGAGCTGTTCCGCAGATATATTCTTTCCAAAGGGAGAATGCGCCCTTGTGTCTGAAGAGAATAAGAGACAAGCACACACAACTGTTTACACACACACTGCAAAGATACCGGGAAACGGTGCTCAAGTCCCATCTGCCACCTGTCCCCGCTGCCTTTTTAGCATGTGAGCTCTCTTCAGGCAAGTGCCAACTCAAAAGGGAAAAGGAGACTTTTCTCCCCACTGTTCTTCTGATGCAGGCTATGTAAATAGCATCAACTGACCTACATGCTGTGAGTGTGTGTCTAAACTGTGCCTTCATGCTGAACAAGGAATTCTTTTTAGTTTCTTGGTTTTGATTTTTTTTTTTTTTTTTTTACAAAAAGAGCCAAGTGTACTGCCATAGGGAAGAAACATTCATATTAAAGGTTTTAAAGTTGAAACTAATTGCACAGAAGTCAGGACAGCCAGAATTGAAGGATTTTACTTTTGTTTTTACACTCTGGCCCTTATGTGGAAGCATTCCAAGAGGATCTCTTATCCCACCATTTAAACACACTTTGTGTTACGATAGAAAGAGGGCAGTAAACGGTGCAGTTTGGTTTTCAGCTATATGCAAAGTTGCTGGAGAACAGGGTCCAGTCAAAGTCAAGGAATTGACAGAGCACTTGAATGTGCCATATGGTGACCTCTACAAGCGTCTTTTCCATCTCCGTCAATGGGAGGACATTGTCTATGAATAAAAAAAAAAACTCAGCACATTCTGTAGTGCGCTATTGGCAGGTTTCCAGTAGGTGCAGCAGGAAGCCAGACAATTGTTTGTTGTGGCTGTAGGAGAAGATAGCACGGGGACCAAATGCCACATGGTCCTCTAGGCACTGCGGTACACGTGGCCATAAAAGGATAGGCCAGATCGCCACCAGTCAAAACTGGTTCTGATCTCGTGCTCAGTGGAATTCACACATGCTCTTATTAAGTCACTGCTATGGATGGATAAGATCTGCAGGGTTTGCTCTGAAGAGGAAAGATATTACAGAGCCATACAGTATCAGGGTCACTAGGTGCAGGAAGTAACTACTCCCCTTAGGGTATGTCTACATAGCAGCATTATTTCAAAATAACAGTCTGCATCTACACAGCCGACAGTTATTTCGAAATAGTGTCAAAATACTGTCAAGCTGGAGGACTTCTTACTCTGACTCCTGTAACCCTCCTTGTAGGAGGACCAAGGGAAGTCGGAGGACGAGGGCTCTATTTCGAAATCAGTACTGTGTAGATGCTCCCCATTTCGAAATAAACGACACAATTAACGTAGCTCAAGTTGCGAAGCTAATTTCGAGTGAAGTCCTGCTGCGTAGACGCACCCTTAAAGAATCCCAAGAGGTGACAATGCTTTGCATGTCAATGACACTCTGAAGAGTGCTTACACAAGGACAGTCTCAAATAAAAACCCTTCCCCAATGAAGTAACATAATAATTTTATAGATGGGGAAAATAGACAGCAAGGTTCAAGTAACTCATCCCATGCCAGAGCAAATCAGTGGCACGGTCTGGAAGAGACTAGAACAGCCCTGTTCCCCCGTGCTCCAAGCTCTAGACAATACTAGTGTAGGACAGGAAATCTCTTACCCTATACACGTCCTTGTCCAAACATAAGCCCCACTGTGACATTTCCCTGCTGGCAGCTTTGTTCTCCTCAATCCTGTGCAGCAGATTTCTCAGAGATGCATGGTGCTGCTTCGGGCTCAAGTTGATCTGACTGGTTAGATCCTGGAGGGCATGGGTAAGACAGCAGAAGCCACATGGGAGAACGTCAGTATCCTGAGGCGGAATTGGAGCGATATCCAACCTTTACTTGTATACGCAATCAATCATTTTCAGGGTGAACAGCAAGGGGCCCTATGGCACCTTGAAGGCTAACAATCATTTGGGCACAAGTTTTTGTAGTCTAGAGCCCACGAAACCTTATGCTCAAATAAACGTGTTAGTCTTTAAGGTGTCAGAGGCACCGTTCCCTGTAAGCTGAGCACTTGGATGGACACTCGGGAGAGATTCAAATGCCGCCTAGCTGATTAGCAAAGCACCCACTACTAGGCTTTTTGTTTCTATGGGTGGTGCACATTCACATGTGCCTCTGACGCACATAAAACTTTACTGCACACGCAGATGGAAAAAAATCCACACACGAAAGGAAAAGATTAGAGGGAACACTGTCCACGGGACTCCTTGTTGTCACTGAATACTACCATGGCTACCCCTCTGAAACATTTTCAAGATCATGTCACTTTTTTCCACTGGCACAAGAACACGCAGTTGCAGTTTTATAAGCCCCTCCGCCCCACACCAACGTACTATATAAGCAAACGCGGACAGTGATATAACAAAAAATCCAAGTACTGATCCAGTTGTTCCCAGGTAACTCCTTAGAGCAAAGGAGGAAGGACACAGATTACTGAATCCCATTTATTTGGAGCCTCATTACACTACATTTAGGGATTTGCTTCCCTAAGCCAGGTCTACACTAGACCTGGAAAAGTCAGGTTAAGGAATCAGCCCCAGCTATATAAAATACATAGATGAGCGGGCTTCCCTTAATCATAGAACTGGAAGGGACCTCGAGAGGTCATCGAGTCCAGCCCCCTGCCCTCAAGGCAGGACCAAGCTCTGTCTACACCATCCCTGACAGATGTCTATCTAACCTGTTCTTAAATATCTCCAGAGAGGGAGATTCCACCACCTCCCTTGGCAATTTATTCCAATATTTGACCACCCTGACAGTTAGGAATTTTTTCCTAACGTCCAATCTAAACCTCCCCTGCTGCACTTTAAGCCCATTACTCCTTGTCCTGTCCTCAGAAACCAAGAGGAACAAATTCTCTCCTTCCTCCTTGTGACACCCTTTTAGATATTTGAAAACCGCTATCATGTCCCCCCTTAATCTTCTTTTTTCCAAACTAAACAAGCCCAGTTCATGAAGCCTGGCTTCATAGGTCATGTTCTCTAGACCTTTAATCATTCTTGTCGCTCTTCTCTGTACCCTTTCCAATTTCTCCACATCTTTCTTGAAATGTGGCGCCCAGAACTGGACACAATACTCCAGCTGAGGCCTAACTAGTGCAGAGTAGAGCAGCAGAATGACTTCACGAGTTTTGCTTACAACACACCTGTTGATACAACCTAGAATCATATTTGCTTTTTTTGCAGCAGCATCACACTTTTGACTCATATTCAACCTGTGATCCACTATGACCCCTAGTTCGGCCAAGTTTGGCGCCGTCTTTACGGAGGGAGGCCAACAGGAGCAAACGCTCCCATCAGCTTCCCTTCCTCCTTTCAACTGCAAAGAGTACCGGTGCTACCCTTGGCATTTGAGTTAGCGGGTCTTAAGTAGACCCACTAAGGCGAGCGCCAGAAGACTGATCTCTGGCACCACAAGGAGAGACGTGGACCCAGATGTGAATACTAATGAGTTACCAAGTACCTAGGTTCCTTACATTTATAGGCAACTAGAAGATTTACCCAGTGTTGCTCTGGTCCTTGACTCAATTGTTGTTTTTTGGAAAATAAAATGAAAAATGTCCAGGCTTCTTTGAACTATTGCTCTGGGGTGGGGCTGGGGATGAGGGGTTTTATAAGATGCGATCATATTCTGGGCAGATCCTGTTTTCCTGGCACAACCAAAGCCTGCTCTTGCTCCAAGTTATGATAAGAGGAAGCTGCCTACCAGATTTGGTGGTCCTAGAGCTCTCACTGTTTAGAAGTTCTTGGCTCTCTCAAATATGCAGTGATTATAGGGCACTGCAAGCTCTTCAAACTTCCCTGTCCTGTATAGCTCGACCTCAACCCTAGGCTTCTAGCTAACCCATACCCACTCCCCAGCTACAGAATTACCTCCAATCCCCTCTGTCAAAATAAACCCATAACCCTGCCAAGGCCTGGCCAAACGTCAACCTCAGGGCTCAGCCTAAGAGCTCGATGTTTGGGCTAGGGCGAAACACTGGAGGAAGAACAGGTCTGAGAAGACCAATAGCTGTGAAGTTTAATCCTCACAACTGGGCCATTCCAGCAACCCACTGTACTCCTTCCACTGGGAAGACAGAAATCAGTCAATCTGAATGTTATTGCGAGAGACGTGTAGCGCGATCCGGTCCAGTGAACTGGATCTTAGATCCACCTCCTGCGCACCAGTTTGCAAGTCTTGGGAGAGGGAGCAGAGGACATAAGCAAAGAGAAACATCTGCTCAGGGGGGCTCAAGACCTGCCCTGCGGCGGCAATGCTCCAACCTTCATGGCTCTGAAGTCCTTCCTCATCTTCTCAGGGATCCCGGTCATGTAGGAGAGCTCGGGCAGCAGCAGAATCTCACCCCTCTGAAGCTGAAGGGAAACGGGAGCCAGGACATATTAACAGACTGCCAGCTGGGTTCTTCCCAGCCATGCTGGGCACATGAAAGATGCAACCAGCCCTTGAAACCGCTTAAAAAAAGGGGGGAAGCTTGAACTGCCAAAAAGAGAGACTGGAATCAGAAACAGCATGGGGCTGTTTCTGTCACTACTGGTATCCCAGTTACTTTTGACGGGGCTCAAAAGGGCACCTGAGGAGGCATTCTGCATGGCCTCATTGGTTCCTTCCCAGCGAACACTCGCGACCTTATGACTTTGTTGAGTTGCAAAGCAATTTGCTTCTGGCCATGGGAAGGGCCCGCACCAAGTGCAAC